GTGCTTACAGGGAATTTTACGGTTATGTATAGAAAATAAAAATAAGTACAGAACAGTTAATTTGGAGGGATCTCAATTTCTATGCCCTCTGCAATAGTGATTTTAATGGAGCTGGAAGTATATATCTAATCTCTTGTACTCCTTACAGCAATACAGCCCTCTGCTTGCTGCCTTTACTACCCAAGGTCAATCTGAGCTGACTCTGTTACTCAAGATTCAGGAGTACTGTTATGACAACATTCACTTCATGAAAGCCTTCCAGAAAATAGTGGTGCTTTTTTATAAAGGTAACAAACTCTAAGACTGCAGAATGTAACTGTTTGCAGAGACTTTTAATTATGAAAAGCTAACTTCTGACCTATGGCAAAAAACTGCAGAGACTCGTAACACTTAATTTATATAAACAAGTGGTAGCTGAAATGCTGGTGCTTTCATGCCCATCTATACAACCCACCCATCATCCCTTTTCCAATTGCAATACATTGCTATATTGCAGAATAGTAATGGAGATGTAGCTGTGTTAGTCTAGTCTGCTGAAATAAAAGAAAGGACTATGTAGCACTTTAAAGACTAACAAGATGGTTTATTAGGTGACGAGCTTTCGTGGGCCAGACCCACTTCCTCAGATCAAACTGGAAGAAAATTAGCATGACCAATTTTTATTGTACCAAAGGGCTACAATAAAAAAATGAACACACAAAATTGACAAATCAGAGTTTAGAACTGGGGGGAGGGGGAGGTTAGTGTCTGAGATAATGATATTAGGGGTGATAATTGGGGAAGCTATCTTTGTAATGGGTAAGATAATTAACATCTTTGTTAAGGCCCATTTGTAAAGTGTCAGATTTAAGCATGACTGACAGTGATTGTTAATGTATTTAGTGAGGGGAGGTTTAAGGAAAACAGTTAATCTTTGGCTGTACCATGGCTACCAGACTCCAATCTTGACTGATCCAATCAGTCTTCTATACTTGTTTTAAGGTTTTCTATCAAAAACATTAGCATATGCAGGGCTCAACAATCTATGTAATCTACTCGCCCGTGGCAAGTAGATTACAACCCGGAAGAGCTGGGTTTGGGCGATCTGTGCACGTGCAGATCGCCAGTCAGTGCATCTCGGCGAGTCCTGAGCATATGGGAAAATGCAAATGTGAAAGGCTAACTAGTTAGCATCACCCTAAACGGATAATGCTTCCCGGTTCTAGTTAACTGCAGGTGCTCCCAGAGAGGTTTCACTGAGGTCTCTGCAGTATAAAGCTTATTTAAGCTTTGTACTGTAGAGCAGGGTGGCCAATCCACAGCTCATGATCTGCATGCAGTTCTTGGATTTAAAAAAAAATGTGGCTCATGGTGCTCAGGCCGGCTGCTCTGTGCATGGCACCCCAGCCAGCATGTGCTCATGGCTGGGCCGCTCTGTGCACGGCATTCCAGCACCTGAAGGGAGATGTGCGTGGCTGTAGCAGCGGCAGCTCTGGGACCTAGGCATTGGGTTAGAGCAGGGGGGAGGGGGATTGGGTTAGAGTTGGAGGAGGGGGTGCCTGGCTCTGGAGAAAATAGATAAAAGGATTTGACTAATACCGATTTCATAGAATCATAGAACCATAGAGATGGAAGAGACCTCAGAAGGTCATCGAGTCCAGCCCTCTGCTCTAGGCAGGACCAATCCCAACTAGATCAACCCGGCCAGGGCTTTGTCAAGCCGAGACTTAGGGTACGTACATATGGGGTATGTCGATGGAGCCATGTAGATTTGTTTGTTCGGCAAAGGGAAATGAAGCCGTGATTTAAATAATCGCGGCTTCATTTAAATTTAAATGGCTGCCCCGCTCTGCCGATCAGCTGTTTGTCGACAGATCGGGGCAGTCTGGATGCTCCCCAGTCGACATGAAAGCCCTTTATCGACCTCCCCGGTAAGCCTCATCCTACGAGGCATAACAGAGAGGTCGATAAAGGGCTTTCAGGTCGGCGCGGGAGTGTCCAGACTAGCGCGCTGAGCCAACAAACAGCTGATCAGCTGTTTGTCGGCTCAGCGAGGCAGCCATGTAAATTTAAATGAAGCGGCGATTATTTAAATCGCTGCTTCATTTCCCTTTGCCCAATGATGTGTTGAGAGACTAATTCCGTGGTAACACTGCTTTGGCATGTCTTTAACAGCTGAAGTTCTGAGCGAAGAACCCATCTTGAAATGGTATAAAGACGCACATGTTGCAACAGGAAAGAGGGTTTTTC